CATCGTTATAAACCGTTGAGCCATAGTTTGTCAACTATGCTGGAGCTAGTGGTCTCCAGAGCTCTATGGCAAGAAATTCTCCAGACTTTGCATGACACAAAGACGGAAGAGCACCTACATATTACACTCTTATGTGTTAAAATTGGGCAGCAGTACTTCTGGCCACATTGTCGAGATGGTTGGTGTTGCTGTGAATACAGTATGATGTGTGCTGCCCAGAGAAAGAAAGACTGTGATAGAGTAAATCCCAATAGAGAATTACTGGATCTCCTTTAAAGAAATAGCCATGGATACTGAGGGTCTACTCCCAGAGGTCATCAGTACATACTCATTGCCATCAACTACTTCATGAAGTGGGCCAAGGCTTATCCATTGTTCGATACATTGGCATGCACAGTCCATCACTAATGTGTTGGTGGAACACAGGATAACATGGTTTGGAGAACTGAAAAGGATTCACATGAATTAGAAAGCTAATTCCAACAGCTAATTGTTCTGTAAGTAAAGTATAAGGCGTTAGGTGTGGGAGAGGCATCTCACCTTATAACTCCCAGTCTGATTGGTTGGAAAAACTTGTAATACAGACTAATAGGTGGATTCTTGTCAAGTCTGTTTATACTGGCCAAACTGACTGGGATGGAAACTTACAACACAATATATGATGATGGGATACAGAACAACTGAATAGAGATACATGGGCTAGTTGTAAAATATGCTCATAATTAAGTAAGAAATGCAACACCTGTTGACATGATGTATTGTTCTCTCCCACGAGTAGACATCCCACAATGTCCACAGGAATAATTGAAGTGTTTAAGATCTACAATAGTTATTGTGGACAAGTTTGCCCAAAAATACCTGAGAAAGGCCAGTCAAAGACAGAAGTGTTACAACAAGACAGTAAAGGAAAGGAAGTACCAGTGTAGAGACGGAATCTGGTTGTGGTACATTCCAGTAGCATGAAAGCAATTTAAAATTGGTTGGACTGGTGTGTACCTTATAAGCTGGTAGATCGGTCCAGGAAATGTATGTGTTACAGTAAATTCGAAGGCGCATGTAAATGTGTGAAATACATTGATAAGCTGCTTCTATACATCCCAGATAAACTGTTGTACACTAGCTGGACCGTAAGCCTGAGGTTGAAAGTGACTAGTCAGAGGAGGATGCTATCTCAAGTCCTTCTTATTCATCTGAAGAGGAAAAGAGAATTGAAATTACTTATCTGGTTGTTTAAGATGAGCCTGATGAGGAACTGCTGGAGTTAGAGATTAAAGACAGATCTCACATTTAGCCTGGCTACTTATGTTAACCTTCTGATCAATTTGGATAAAACTGATTGATCACAATAGTTATGATAGTGTTTGGTCGAGAAACAGAAGTTTTAAAGGGCTTTATAACCTTTTTCTTTCAAGCTGCCAAGTGATGTCATAAAATACTGTGTATTTACTACACTGTATAGTAACTACTAGGTCAGCAGGAGCCATGATAGCTGGAATGAGAGGGTGTAGTGGATAGTATATAAAAAGATTGCCTATCCAACGATGATAGCTAAAGGTTTGAAACTCATCTGATAGCTCAGAAAGCAAGGTAATCTTGCCTGTTTTTGTTGTGAGACCATTTTAATGAAGCCTTTCTTTTAGCTATGGATTCTGAGTAACTCCGGGATGCCAAGGACTTTCATTTTCAGTGGTTTTTAATCCTTGGAATCTAGGAGACAGAATGACTTTCGCTGTGGTTGGGCCTACTGATGAAATTTTATTGCTGGCCAATGCATCAGACATGGGAAAGTTTGCTGTTGTTGTCATCGGGTTGGTCCTGCGATCTCCAGAGGATGTATAGCCCCAAGGGTTTGAGGATGTCAAAGTTAAGTAAGCAGTACATTCGTCAAAGACCACTCTTTCAAAACTGCAGGATCTAAGCCTTCAAGCCACTTACTGCTACTCCTTGAAATTTCATCTTGTATTATACATTACTTTTATATCACTGATTAAGTGTTTATAAATAATTATCTGTCACATACATTACAAAATATGTATTAAATTTTTAATAGAGGAAGTACATAAACATTTTTGAAGGTTTATTTTGTTTAATCCTTTTTTCATTTTGTTCATCCATTGTATGTGTAGTTTGTTAAACTACCTCCTCTGAAGAGGGCAGGTAATCTTTGTTAAAAAAAAAATTTTCGTGAATTTTCAGTATTGAGCACATATCTTTGTAAAAAAGTATTTCATATACGTGTGTGTATACTTCCATTGTATATTTAAGGATTATTTTGTGTATTTATTTTTTATATACAACGTTCTTCTAAGTTAAAGGAAATCTTAAAAATCTTGATAAAGTAATTTTTGTGTGTTTAAGTTATTAATTATTGATTATTTCCAGTGATTTTTTTACATTAATTCCATCACACATTATTTTGTATCTGGAATTGTACTTCAAGGGTTTTTGTTCTATTTGAGTGTTGTTCTTTGTTAAAGGATTTTCTTATCCATATAGCAAGCAAATTGTTCATAGGAACATTTATTTGTATAAATGTGAATGATTAGCCCTTGTGTAGGGTCTAAAATTTAATAAATAATCAAACTAACCTTTCACACTTACACAATTTAAAAAAACTTTATTGAAGCCGTCAATGCCTTGAACCCCTGAAGACGACGTAGAGTTGACGTCGAAATATTGTACATGTAGAGTGGCTTTTTAAAGTGGAAGCTGTTGACGGCTTCAATTAAATTTTTAAAATTGTGTAAATATGAAAGGTTGGTTTTGATTATTTATTAAATTAATTTGTTTGTTTTAGCACAAACATATATATTGGGTTACCCGTTGTGTCCACTGTGTGGAAATGAATCCTGACTTTTAGGATTGTAAGTCCTTAAACTTACCGCTGACCCACCAGGGTATTGTAGGAATGAGGAAAAGTTTGTTTGTTTGTTTGAAGTTAAGCACAACGCTATACAATGGGCTATCTGTGCTCTGCCCGCCACGGGTATCGAAACCCGGACTCTAGCTTCGTAAGTCCGCAGACATAACGCTGTACTACTGGGGGGCGAGAGGAAAAGTTATCACACTTTGTGTTAACACCATTTCATGAGTTTGAAGTCAATTGGTTTAAAGTTAAATTTAATTGTCAGCTTGAGGACAAGCTTGAAACAGAGGCGGAATGAGAAACGTGGAATGCAGGCATACCATACATTTTTTACCTTCTTATGTCAATGAAGGAACGTTTTAAAATTTTCATGTAGTCTATTTTATGCAGTTTTTGCACAAATACGTAGCCCAGAAAACCATTATTTTATCATTTTCAGTTTTTTTAGTTCTTTAGTAGATAATAGCTGTTCCACCTACAGGAACATTGCCTTGCATTGTCATACATTGCGCAAACAGATCAACAACAGTAATGTACCGATCGAGAAATAATATGTCTCCTACTTACAACCATTTGTGCCATTCTTAGAACCATGTCTCATACTTACAACCACGTGTTACCTACTTACAACAATATGTCTCCTACTTACAACCATTTGTGCCATTCTTAGAACTATGTCTCAGGTTGTAAGTAGGAGACATATTGTTGTAAGTAGGTAACACGTGATTGTAAGTAATTTGTGCCCTACTCAGAACCATGTCTCATACTTACAACCACGTATTACCTACTTATAACAATACGTCCCATACTTACAACCACATGTTACCTACTTACAACATTATGTCTCCTACTTACAACCTGGACTATGTTGTATCAGAATACACAGTCACATGTGTAGTTTCCTGTTTCGCACTGAGCACTGGATTAACAACAGTTCAAATTGGTCATCAAAATGATAAATAAACGGAAAGAGATCTTGTGGAAATAAAGTTATTGATCAATTTACAGATAAAACTACAGTTCAGTGTCTACAGTTGAGTGTAACTGTGTTAACTGTGTTTCTTTTTACATGTAAATAAAGGTTAGTGACAACGTAAATACTTGTGAAGCATCAAATCACACGATGCTTCAAGTGAACGGTATAATCATTACTTTCAAGCTTGTGCCACTGGCACTTACATAAGGTGTGAGATCCTTCATTTAGGTGAAATGTAGGATATTTGTTTAGTAAAAGTGTAACGTTCGAAAGTGCTTGATTTGGCTAGGTGTTTTAACTATAGTTTGTCTATAGTATACAAATATCACATTTTTAATCTCCTACAGTGTACACTTCATATCGTATTATTTAAAATTTTCTTTTTTAAATTAAAGTTCGGAAAAAGAGGACATTTGATAAAAGTTGTGTGCTAAAATTCAAACATGGGAATTATAACAAGATTCTTCAAGGATACTCATTCTTTATCAACAGCTCAACTTACAGTTTATTGCACGTAGATTTTATTTTCATTTAATAAATATGTTTAATTTTAGTTAAACAATGTATTCACTTATGAAAGATTAGCCAGTTTGTCATTCATTATTTTGTCTTCAGTTTAATGAAATGTCTGTTTTTGTTCATCTTCTCACAAACTTTTCATTGTCGCAAAGATAAGGTATCTGTGTGATTGGCTCATCCTTAGAATACCATATATCTGTTGCTATAGATACAATTCTTACATTATAACTTAGTTGCCACTTCCCTATGGAAGTTTGTTAATGTTATATTAATTAAACTGTATCAGTTTCAACAATAATTGTTTTTTTATACAACAATAGTAATAGACTTATAATATTTCTTGTCGCTACATTCTTAATTCGTTTCCATAGCAGCAAAAGAGAATATATTACTATTTCAAATGGTAAACAGAGTGTGGTTGAAATACTATCATACAATCTTCTGCTTCTTGAAAAAAAACCTTAGGGACTGAATAAAAAATCTATAGTTAAATATGTAATAGGCTTAAAACAACGTCTTATGAAAAGTATTAATTAGTTTAATCGGTTTCGGTTGTTTAATTAAGAAATCTATCTTAGTTATTGTAATAGAAAACAATGAAATGACAGTGTTTAATATTAAATGAAAAAGTCTACTTACAATCGTATGTTTCCTATTTGCAACCACACGTATCGAACTCAGAACTACATGTCTCCTACTTACAACAATTCGTCCTGTATCAAAACTGCTTTTTTCCGTAAAGATCTTTCTGTGTCTCTTCGTATTTACAACACAGCTGCAGGTTGTACTTATATCAGCTCTACTCTACGTGGTGTCATCATAATGATAACTACATTGGTATGGAAAAACATCATTTATATTATATGAAAACCACAAGATAATAAGTTCGCGCAATTTTATGGGAAACCAACGACTTCTTCAAACCTTTATATCGAATATAGATTTACCAAAACATGAGAATACTAACTCGGTATATATTAATGTTCATAGCAATACCAGGCTGAATTACAGAGAGATTTCAAAGGTGTTTGGTGATAAAAGTAAAAAAAAAACATAGTTGTATATGTGACATGGAAAACGAAGCAAAGAAGACAGAAGTAAATAAAAAAAATGGTAACGAATAGAGCTTAAGGCGTCGTCAGTAACTTGTTATCAGAGTTTCCAGCTTTCAAAAGGAAGTTGTTTTTATAAATCCAGTAAGCTATACAACTCGATAAGCAAGCAGAATTACTATTCTAACAATACCTCGTCCTAACTTCCTTAAAAAACACGTTGTTGTCCATGTTACTGCTCTGAATAGCATCTGAAACGTTTCAGCATTGTAGAAGTTAATGGTGTTTAAACTTAAGGACCTGTCACACTACAGGAACTGAGGTGGAAACTTATTCAGCAAATGTCTTAAATTATATGTACTCGTTAATGTTAAAAAATGTAAGGAATACAAATAACAGACGTCATTAACTTATGCATATTTGCACTTCAAATGATATGTAGAATATAATATTTTCCCTTTGTTACATAATCATAGATTCCAGTCTCATGGTATTGTTTTACCTGCTAACCTTGCTGTTTATAGGGTATTGTTTTACCTGCCAATCTTGCTGTTTATATGGTATTGTTTTACTTGCCAATCTTGCTGTTTATATGGTATTGTCTTACTTGCCAATCTTGCTGTTTATATGGTATTGTTTTACCTGCCAATCTTGCTGTTTATATGGTATTGTTTTACCTGCCAATCTTGCTGTTTATAGGGTATTGTTTTACCTGCCAATCTTGCTGTTTATATGGTATTGTTTTACCCGCCAATCTTGCTGTTTATACGGTATTGTTTCACTTGCCAATCTTGCTGTTTACATGGTATTGTTTTACCCGCCAATCTTGCTGTTTATATGGTATTGTTTTACTTGCCAATCTTGCTGTTTATATGGTATTGTTTTACCCGCCAATCTTGCTGTTTATATGGTATTGTTTTACCTGCCAATCTTGCTGTTTATATGTTTCAAAAAGTCTTCTTTCTTTAAAGAAAAATCGATTCACGAGATGAATCAATGTATTATTTGTTAGTTTGTTTTAAAAGTTTTGCGCAAAACTTCAAAAGGGCTATCTGCGTTTAACCGTCCCTAATTTTCAAATGAAAGACTAAATAAAAGGCGGCTAGCTGTAAATATATGATGAGCTACTCTTGTCTGACCAAACAGTCAATTAAATAATCTTCCTTAAATGTATGTAACGCATCATAAATCTTCATACAGTATTTGTTATAATATTGTTTTTGCTCGACTTGTACAATTTAATAGAAAACACTTAATGTAAAATGGGTGATAGACAATTAAGGTTCACTTAAATTCATCATATTAGCTGTATAACAATATTCGTTTACTTTAACTTTCACTAAAACTGAAACTGGATTAAATTCATCATATTAGCTGTATAACAATATTCGTTTACTTTAACTTTCACTAAAATTGAAACTGGATTAAATTCATCATATTAGCTGTATAACAATATTCGTTTACTTTAACTTTCACTAAAATTGAAACTGGATTAAATTCATCATATTAGCTGTATAACAATATTCGTTTACTTTAACTTTCACTAAAATTGAAACTGGATTAAATTCATCATATTAGCTGTATAACAATATTCGTTTAATTTAACTTTCACTAAAATTGAAACTGGAGCAAAGATATTTATTAATGGAAGATTTTCACCAGAAAATCATATGTCAAAAAATCAAGTTTGTTGGGCTAGACCATTTCTACAATATACGTTTCACAACTTATACAAATATATAATCTGAAAACCTCACAAACATCAGGATAACAACAAATATACACTTACTTTGTTTCATTTAAATAGCTGTAACAAACCAGCCTACGTCATTAACTGATATGCGGAATGTACAATCGTTGGAGGGCTACATATGCAGCCCTCAATAGTGAATTGGTTAAGAACCCCTGATTTTAGTTGGAAAGGCTGACAAACTTTCGGTATAAACATGCTGATGGCTTGGGTTGTTAAGTCCAAGCCCACATATATAATTTTGTGCTTCTATCCTGAAGAATGAAATAGTGCAAGTGATTCGTAAACCGTTTTGATCTGGTATAAATAGTAAGGAATCTAAAGAAAGAAATTAGACAAGATGTAATAAAGTATCAGGTTAAAATTTCATTCAAAAACCATCCACAATCTGGAGCACAAATGTCAGCACGTTACATAATTGAGAATATGCAATTAATGTTCATAACAACGGTATAGGGATACTTGCGCTCATCCACTCTTGGATTTAATTGCGTTGTATGCTAAGCTTATGTTATATTTTCTTCCTGATGTTTTTTATAGTCGGTTTTGTTCACATTAAACAAGAAGTGATTAAAAATGCTTCTTTTCATCATTAGTTTTAACATTTGTTCAACGTATAAATGGAATATGATAGCCTGGACAATATTTTTGGTTTAAAACCAGAGGCGGCAAGGATTAATATGTTCACAATCGATTGTTCTTTGTCACGTGTCGGTTCAGTCGGTAAATAAACGGAATATGATGGCCATCAGCGATGAAGAAGACGTCATATATATATATATACATTAAACAGTTGATTTTATTCAGGTTGAAACTCTCATCTCTGCTCAGTAGTTTTAGTGGACGATGATTCGCCAATAATTTCTTCGATAACTTAATTTGAATAAGAGTAAATGCTGTACGTTACATGATATACCTTACTCCCAACCCTTTGAGTAACGCTTTCAATTAACAGTTTTATATCCAGTTTATATTCATAATCTACAGGCAAGATATAGCAGGCTTCATTTGGGATTATTCATTACTTCCAGCAAACAGACTTACCAACAACAGGCAAGATATAGCAGGCTTCACCTGGGATTATTCATTACTTCCAGCAAACAGACTTACCAACAACAAACAAGATATAGCAGGCTTCACCTGGGATTATTCATTACTTCCTTATTGGTAAGTCTGTTTCCTGGAAGTAATGAATAATCCCAGGCGAAGCCTGCTATATCTTGCCTGTTGTTGGTAAGTCTGTTTGCTGGAAGTAATGAATAATCCCAAATGAAGCCTGCTATATCTTGCATGTTGCTGGTAAGTCTATTTGCTGGAAGTAATGAATAATCCCAGGTGAAGCCTGCTATATCTTGCCTGTTGCTGGTAAGTCTGTTTGCTGGAAGTAATGAATAATCCCAGGTGAAGCCTGCTATATCTTGTTTGTTGTTGGTAAGTCTGTTTGCTGGAAGTAACGAATAATCCCAGGTGAAGCCTGCTATATCTTGTTTGTTGCTGGTAAGTCTATTTGCTGGAAGTAATGAATAATCCCAGGCGAAGCCTGCCATATCTTGCCTTTTGTTGGTAAGTCTGTTTGCTGGAAGTAATGAATAATCCCAGGTGAAGCCTGCTATATCTTGTTTGTTGTTGGTAAGTCTGTTTGTTGGAAGTAATGAATAATCCCAGGTGAAGCCTGCTATATCTTGCCTGTTATTGGTAAGTCTGTTTCCTGGAAGTAATGAATAATCCCAGGTGAAGCCTGCTATATCTTGCCTGTTGTTGGTAAGTCTTGCTGTAGTAAGGTATTATTTTGGCTAAAACCCAGCCGTAAATAAGGGATTTTAACATCAAAAATAGTGAAGGTTATAAATAAGTTTTAATGGATTCGAATGTTTTTGCAATAAATGTTTTGTTTGTAAATGCAACTGATTGTTATGACATTTCACAGCAGTGACATATGTAATTACTGGTAACAAATGTCATTATTTCTACGTTAAGAATAATTTCTTTAATTTATATTCCCATTGTTTGAATCTACACAATGAACCATCTGTGTTCTGCCCACTACAGGTATCAAAACCGGGTTTCTAGCAGCTTGGCTAGTTTTATCTAATATCATTTTCTCCAGCGACATTCTTCTCTTGGATGTTCTGTAGAATCTTACTGTCATTTTTACATAAGGTAGATTGTAAGATGTGATGTTGGATAAGGGAGTATTTCACATTTATTGTTGTGATGTACAGGCGATACGTTATGAATGCGAATATAGCCTTCTTCTACACATGCATAAATTTGAATTCAATGGAAAACATACAAACGAAAGATATATATAACATACAAACAAACATATAGAAAATATACAAACGAAAGATATGTAAAACATACAAACAAAGATATATATAACACACAAACGAAAGATATGTAAAACATACAAACGAAAGATATATAAAACATGCAAACGAAAGATATGTAAAACATACAAACGAAAAATATATAAAACATACAAATGAAAGATATGTAAAACATACAAACGAAAGATATGTAAACATACAAACAAAGATATATATAACACACAAACGAAAGATATGTAAAACATACAAACGAAAGATATATAAAACATGCAAACGAAAGATATGTAAAACATACAAACGAAAGATGTGTAAAACATACAAACGAAAATATATAAAACATACAAATGAAAGATATGTAAAACATACAAACGAAAGATATGTAAAACATACAAACGAAAGATATGTAAAACATACAAACGAAAAATATATAAAACATACAAATGAAAGATATGTAAAACATACAAACGAAAGATATGTAAAACATGCAAAAGAAAGATATGTAAAACATACAAACGAAAAATATGTAAAACATACAAACGAAAAACATGTAAAACATACAAACGAAAGATATGTAAACATACAAACAAAGATATGTAAAACATACAAACGTAAGATATGTAAACATACAAACAACGATATATATAAAATACAAACGAAAGATATGTAAACAAACAAACAAAGATATGTAAACATACAAACAAACATAGAGAAAATATACAAACGAAAGATATGTAAAACATACAAACAAAGCTATATATAACACACAAACGAAAGATATGTAAAACATACAAACAAAGATATATATAACACACAAACGAAAGATATGTAAAACATACAAACGAGAGATATATAAAACATACAAACGAAAAATATGTAAAACATACAAACGAAAGATATGTAAAAGGAAAAATAATGTGGTGATAAAGTACCATGCAGTTAAAAATGAAAGTTTAATAGAAGACAAGAACACAGAACGAAGTTTTAATCAAAATTATTAAGATCTACAGTTCCCTTACCTGATTTGTTCGAGATACTCTTAAATCCCCTGTAGGCCTGCATAGGTTCGCCCCTGAGCGGGTCTCCGGAGTAGCGGTGTTCCTGGGAACTGCGTAGTTCCAACACTATGCGCAGGGAAAATCTACCCACTGATGCTGAGTAACATTGATCGATCGGATAAAAGTCGATGATAGCTTCACGATTTGGAACGACGCTACCTCAGGTAACAAGCACATTTCCTTTTAAAAGGACTAGACCTGGATTTAGATATTTTGACTTCAAACCAGATTCAAACATATACGTTATGCTGGCCTCGGCATTTTTTCTCCTATAACTAAAACCACATAGAGTCACGTTAGTTTTTGGTATTAGCCGACTGTTTGCTCCGTAATTTGCGATTTGTTCTCTGCTGGCTGTTGCAGTGTGTCTTCTTATCTGTAAGAAGTAAGTATTTCAAGTGGATAGCGAATTACTTCTGTTTTTTCTATAATTTAGTTTTAGGCAGGGTTTTTATGTTTTGAATAGTTTCGTATAGATTTTCTTTCTTGTTTTGAAAAGTAGACAGACTCAGGAGAAGCCCATGTAAAACTGTTAAACGTGCCCAGAATATTGCTTTAACCTTTATAAATTTCCTTATTTTGTGTTTACAGTATAATAATATTGAGCTATTTTTCATGGTGGTTTCTAGTCTAGACAAATCGATCCTGGCAAGCAGTACTGATATAAACATTAAGGAAAATACAACAGATTTGTCGGAATGAAGCCTAAACGAATAAAGCTGAATCCGTACGATAAATAAAGCTTAAATGAAATAATTTAAAGAAATATTGAGTTGTTCCACTGCCAGTTCTCGACATAATTCTGGTTGTGAGACGTCTTCGTAGGAACGATAATCGGTACTGCCAGTTCTGGACACTTACGAGAATAACAAATACATCAAGGAACATTTTTATGATCTAATGACGACGTGTTAGCAACATGTATTTTAAGGCTTATCTCATTCCAATCTATACTCGTTCGTTCTACTAATCTATCGCTCATAATTCATGATGTTTTTCATTCACGCGCGCTGCGTTTTCCTGGGTTTAAGAAGAACATAGCACGCAGAAAATTGGACCCCTAAACAACTATCAAGAAATTTTTTTTATCATATATTTTATGGACTATATGTCAACAAAATACTACTTAATTCAGAATCTTTATCCAGTTAGTTCAGTTTTATCGCATTTTAAATAAATATTATTATTATTATTAAAGGGCGGTATTTAATTCCAAATTATTTTATCCACACAGTCAAGTTTCAACGTATCTGTCATAAGCTTTGATTTTAGAAGTGTTAGTTAATACAAAATTGTATTGTCCAGCTCACTTGTACAATATTTTCCAAAAACTGTATGTTTAGAATATCTATTCAATTCAAAAGTGTATTCTCCACATAGTCCAACTTCACAATATCTAATCCAATTTATTATTCTGATAATCCAGATACATAAACTTTATCTCTAAAAGGTGTTATCTAATCCATTTTATTATTCTGATAATCCATATACATAAACTTTATCTTTAAAAGGTGTTATCTAATCCAGTTTATTATTCTGATAATCCAGATACATAAACTTTATCTCTAAAAGGTGTTATCTAATCCAGTTTATTATTCTGATAATCCAGATACATAAACTTTATCTTTAAAAGGTGTTATCTAATCCAGTTTATTATTCTGATAATCCAGATACATAAACTTTATCTCTAAAAGGTGTTATCTAATCCAGTTTATTATTCTGATAATCCAGATACAGAAACTTTATCTCTAAAAGGTGTTATCTAATCCAGTTTATTATTCTGATAATCCAGGTACATAAACTTTATCTCTAAACGGCGTTATCTAATCCAGTTTATTATCCTGATAATCCAGGTACATAAACTTTATCTCTAAAAGGTGTTATCTAATCCAGTTTATTCTTCTGATAATCCAGATACATAAAATTTATCTTTAAAAGGTGTTATCTAATCCAGTTTATTATTCTGATAATCCAGATACATAAACTTTATCTCTAAAAGGTGTTATCTAATCCAGTTTATTATCCTGATAATCCAGGTACATAAACTTTATCTCTAAACGGCGTTATCTAATCCAGTTTATTATCCTGATAATCCAGGTACATAAACTTTATCTCTAAACGGCGTTATCGAATCCAGTTTATTATTCTGATAATCCAGATACAGGTGTTATTTCATTCTCAAGCTTATTATTCATATAGTCTAGTTTCACTGAATCTTTCATAAACTTTAATCCTGGAAAATGTTATTTAATACACAAGTTTATTATCCACATCCTCTGGTTTCATTGTGTCATCGATGAATAATTAGTTACACAGTAAAATATAATAAAAGTCTTGCATTTTCTTTCATATATATGTTTAGATTTCGTGCAAATTTCTAGAAAAGGTAAAGTACCCTGGAAATACTTTGGAAAATTTCCAGTTGTTATGATATTTTTTGACGTAACAGCTCGTTGCTTTCCAAGCTCAAATTTCATAGTTCTGCTTAACAAGATAAATATTTAATATTTTCATTTATAAATTCGTTCTGCGCTTAAAATGTGTAATTTGTGTTCATTGATGGATTTGTTTGATTTTGTTCCTTTGAAAAGATTTTTCTGAGACTTCTAATTACCTAGATAGAAACTTTTCGAGGAAGTTTTTGATAACTTACATGTAAATAACATATAAAGTTTGATTAAATCTATAGTAGTTATGTTTCCCAGCAATTACAGCAAGAAGTGGGCATAGCACAGACAGCTCAATGTATAGCTTTACGCTTAACAACAAGCACATTAAATATATTATACATACAACAAACATGTTATGCTTATTACATAATTTTATAAAGGTTGTTATTCTCCATTCTCAGTCATAGAGAATAGTTGTATAAGACACACTTCTCACTCATAACTCAAAACTTGAAGCTTAAGACCAACGATCACCTGTAACCAAAAGCAAGAAAAAAAAAGTGAAGTGCTGGACAATATAAAAATTGACAGAGATTAAAGTTTTCGGAGAAGTATGAAGAATAAAGAAAAGGGGAGGCTAACAAAACTAAATAAACAAAAATATACAATTTGCATAAGTATGGAGAATGAAGAAAAGGGGAGGCTAACAAAACTAAATAAACAAAAATATAGCATTCGCAGAAGTATGGAGAATGAAGAAAAGGGGAGGCTAGGAAAACTAAATAAACAAAAATATACCATTCGCATAAGTATGGAGAATAAAGAAAAGGGGAGGCTAACAAAAATATACCATTCGCATAAGTATGGAGAATAAAGAAAAGGGGAGGCTAACAAAAATATACCATTCGCAGAAGTATGGAGAATAAAGAAAAGGGGAGGCTAACAAAAATATACCATTCGCAGAAGTATGGAGAATAAAGAAAAGGGGAGGCTAACAAAAATATACCATTCGCAGAAGTATGGAGAATAAAGAAAAGGGGAGGCTAACAAAAATATACCATTCGCAGAAGTATGGAGAATAAAGAAAAGGGGAGGCTAACAAAATTAAATAAACAAAAAATAAAATTCAAAACGTCTCCCAACCAGAACCATTTGGACCAAGAAGAAAACATTAAAGAAAATGGACTGATGCCTAGCCAAGACAAACTAACGTTGTCGTGCTTTTATCCATTTTGATTATTTATCTTTCTCGTTTTTTGTTCGATTTTCAAGTTTCACTGTGTTCAAATTCTTTATGGTTCATTTTCAGTCAATGTTTTGTCATTTTGCCGATTAATTTCAATCTGATTGGTATTTTTTATTCAGTTTAAGTTTGCATTGAATTTATTTATGCGCTATTTTTTGATCCAAGTAATTTCCACAAAGATTTGGTCCGTTTTGGACTTTTCCACCAACGTTTAGATATATTTCAGTCAGTACATTACAGTAATGTTCCTATATCTTATTTTTGTTAAGAAAACTGAAATATTTCCTTGTGACTAGATTGCGTTCAATTGTTAACTTTCAAAGCCATTCATCTCACATTATTGTATTAGGTTGGTTATATAGGTAACAGGTAACATCACTTATTTCATATTTTCATTAAAAAATATCATTATTTCTAGAATAGGATAATATCTGGTACATACTTTAATTTATTAATTTTTGTGTTCTTTTTTTTTTCAAGCTGTTATTTATTGTTCTGTGCAATTGTGCAGAATTTCCGATAGGTTGGGGTTACATGCCTAGGTAAGTCGTATTAATATCGAAAATTATTTTTAACAGCGCTTGTACTTGCAGACTGGATAAGCTCATGTTGGTCAGAAAAGAAAAAAAAATGGCCCATTGCGGAAAAAAAGGTTTTTCAGTTTCCTTTTTTTTTAACAATATAATCGGCTAAAAAAAGACGACAGTCTATCCTGTATTTTAGCTTCAGTGGATCACTGGCTGCTCCAGTGAATATTGTTAATATCGACGATGAACTTGTACATGATGAAAATTATGACATGGATCTTATTGATAATGACGTTTGGCCTTAATTGAAGATAGTTATGATGAGAAATAAAGCGAATACATCATGAAAGAATACAAAAATGTGCATGATATCAGAGACGTTTTCTCAATTTATGCTTCTTTTCAGTGTTAAAGATAATATGCTTTATTATATTACCATACGATGTAGGCCAGTCATTGCTTAATATAGGAAAACAACTATGGAAGATAACAGAGAAACCAAGAAAACAAAGAAATCATATCCAGTAACAAGTTAAAAGAAAATTATAATTGAAGTTAAATTACATTACATTCTATGGAGGGAAGGATATTTTTATCCCCACTGTGCGCTTCGCTACAAAATACGTTTTTCGTTTGTGTAAAATCGATATCAAAATCCAATAAACTACCTGATGTTGTTAGCTGGATCTCGATACAGTGTCTTGTAGACACGTTCCGAATAAGGCCGTTTACTATTGCACTACAAGTTATTTAATATCTGTAACATATAGCTAATGTTCGTTGGTACATCGATCTTTATGTATCCATATCGGTAACGTAGCCACCATGTATACTTGTATGCTCAATCATCCACATGATTTTACATTTTTTTAAAAGATGTATAATATATAGTTTGTGTATAAACATAAAATATAAAGAAATATATATAAAATATATCTCTTTCGTTCATTCAAATTTTATTTCAGTATATCCCTGGTTTGAACGACTTGCCACTTAGACCTTCCACATACATTTGATGCAGGCTACGCCACAGCATATCTTCATCAAAACTAAATATTAAAAAAAAGCTTCTAAATCTTTATCATCAGTACTTTAGTTTAGTATCATTTTTGCAATCGAATTCCAAGACCGAATTTTGGTGACCCTACCTCTGGTACAAAACGTTACCCAATTTGCCCGTATGAAAAGTGTTAATATAATTACAGGGAAAAATAATGATAGTTTAAGCAAGAGCAACGTAAACAGCGAATATTGCATGATTAAAAATGTAATTTACTGCTAATAGTTCTATGTACAAAGAAGATGAACATTTTACAAGACATGAAACGGGTAAGACGTTTTTACTCTAGGCCTAACTTTGCATTGATAGATCATATATATATATATATACAGCAGTGATTAGTTCTTCAAGTATAATTAAGGCATAGGAAATGATCAATGAATGAGTGACACAAATAATAAAAATGAAATACAGTAGGTCGTGGGAAAACCTAGAAATTCAGAATATCGGATGTCTTGCTGAAATATTTTTCATATATTTCTGTTATTTATTTTAAAAGTGTTGCATTAGAAGCAGGTTTTATTGCTCGATTGAATGCAAATATGATGGTATGAGCTAATATAACTATAGCAACGATTACTATTTTATTGTTGTTATGGTTAGTAAGTTTAGTTTCGTTCTGCAAATAAAGACATTTTAGCTTTTGATAAAACCAAACACTTTATGGTAACTAATGGCTTCTGTTAAGTTTGATTTATCTCATACATTGGAAAATGATGTCACTAGGAAAGATCAGTTTTCATTCCATCCATTAACTTGTCATACTACGGCAGTTAGGCTTAAATCTTCGTACAAATTCTTGCTTTTCTCTTGTAGGCTGAACATTATTCTTCTGTGTTGCTTTTAAACTCTGTCTGTCGTCATGGCCACTTTTGTAGCAAAGCAGATAATGGGAAGCAAGCTAAACGTTGTCAAAGGTAAGTAAACAGCCTTAAACCTATTTGGCAAATCAGCATTTTATCTGTATCTATTAATTTATTCAATTCATCGATAATTTTTACTTATAATTTTCTTATATTTTGCATTTAGGCTTTTTGTCGGTATGTATACTAAAGAACAGGTAATTGTAAACAGGCAATATTTTATAATACAACCGGTAAAACATATTTGAATTTATGATTACCGAATTCTATGTATATGTTGCGTCATCGAGTCACATGACTACTGTGACGCAACGTTTCTAGAACTATCATGTACATTGGCGATTG